TCTCACTCTCTCCCCCTCTCTCTCTCTCTCTCTCTCTCTCTCTCTCTCTCTCTCTCTCTCTCTCTCTCTCTCTCTCTCTCCCCTCCCCCTCCCCCTCCCCCTCTTCCTCCTCCTGACTGGCTACTGCCAAGCCAAAGTCCAAAGGACATTAACCCACTCTGACAAGACTTTTTAAAGCTCTCCTCAGCTGGTGCTGACCAGTCAGAGAGAAGGGGAGGGGTGCATACAGTCAGCAGCCTGTCAATCAAACTATGCTTTACAGTGAGGCATTGACCCCTAATCTCCCACCTCTCTACTTTTGATGTACTAGGGATCCTGGTTTTAGAGGTCAGTTGGTCATAACTGTCTTCATGAATCTTCCATAAACATGAGCAGTTTAATCCTAAGAATACTTTACTGGGAGTAAGCCCCATTGAACTGGCATGAGTAGGATTCTGAGTAGACCTACTTAGGATCGCTCTCTAACAGGATCAGACTTGCCTCCTAGGGAGAAAGTTCCATAAGTGTGGGGAAGGACCTGACCCATTTTGCTGCCAACATAATTCTAGTGGTAGCAGTGTGCAGAACAGATTCTTGGTGGAGGATCTAAGTCAGGGGTGTCAGACTCATTTGTTACAAGGGCTGGATCTGACATAAATGTCTCTCTGATGGGATGGGCCATGTGTGCCATAAAGCATAATGCCAGGTACCAGAGATACAAACTCTATAAAGGACAGCAGCTGGTAAACTCCGAGTTAGTGTGTTCTCACTGCACGGCCCCATGGGGTGGGAGGGGGGGTGCAGAGGAAAACCCACAGAGGCGGACTGGAGAGGCAGCAGTGCCGTGCTGGGCAGATGCTCCCACAATGTTTGACTGGTGCAGGCGAGGTTGTTCTGCTGTGCTACAGCCATAATGGAGTGGCTCTGCCCACTCCCCCCAGCACTCCCCCCCCCCTTGCATCAGTTGCTCACGGGCCACATAAGAACCCTGGACGGGCCTGATCCAGCCCTTGCGCCTTATGTTTGACATCCCTGATCTAAGTGGCAAGAAGGTAGAGGTGTGTTCTGAAGTCAGTATTAAAGGAGTGGAAGCGATGCAGATTCTGTTATATTTTGCTTTAAAATCAAATGCAATATCAAGGTCATTTACAACATTAGGATTGCTGAAGTCATATAGGGCATGTAGTAATTTTTTATCTTTTTGTCCATTTTCAAAACAGATATTCCTCTAAAAGTAGTTGGAATTGTACCACAAAAAAGGGAAAGAAGCCTACTTTGGAAGCTTATTTATTCTTTATATGAACGTGGTTCTGTATATAAATACGGAAGAATAGAATTGAACCTATTTGTCAGTGAAAAAGAGTACAAGGTAACATCTATAAAAAGCTTCTAAATAGTCTTAAGTTGTTAAAGAAGTATAGTTTTTAAAGAAGTATAGTAGTTAACCTATGACCAGTGTGTTCTTTACTAAGAGCGTGTTCATTACTAACAACAAAGCTAGTGGAGGTGATGGTATCCCAGCTGAGCTATTCAAAGTCTTAAAAGATGATGCTGTTAAAGTGCTGCACTCAATTTGCCAGCAAATTTGGAAAACGCAACAGTGGCCACAGGATTGGAAAAGACCAGTTTACATTCCAATCCCAAAGAAGGGCAATGCCAAGGAATGTTCAAACTATCGCACAGTTGCACTCATATCACACGCTAGCGAGGTCATGCTCAAGATCCTACAAGCTAGGCTTCAGCAGTATGTGGATAAAGAACTGCCAGAAGTACAAGCTGAGTTTCGAAGAGGTAAAGGAACTAGAGATCAAATTGCCAACATTCGCTGGATTATGGAGAAAGCAAGAGAGTACCAGGAAAACATCTACTTTTGCTTCATTGACTATAGCAGATCCTGTGTGGATCACAACAAACTATGGCAGGTCCTTAAAGAGATGGGAGTACCAGACCACCTCACATGTCTCTTGAGAAACCTGTATAATGGTCAAGAAGCAACAGTTAGAACCGGATATGGAACAACTGATTGGTTTAGCATTGGAAAAGAAGTATGACAAGGATGTATATTGTCACCTTGCTTATTTAATTTATATGCAGAGTACATCATGCAAAATGCCAGCCTGGATGAATCACAAACTGGAATTAAGATTGCTGGGAAAAAGATCAACAACCTCAGATATGCAGACGATATCACTCTGATGGCAGAAAGTGAAGAGGACCTTAAGAGCCTCATGCTCAGGGTAAAAGAGGAGAGCGCAAAAGTGGGCTTGAAGCTCAACATCAAAAAAACTAAGATCATGGCATCCGGCCCCATCACTCCTTGGCAAATAGAAGGGGAAGTCATGGAAGCAGTGACTGACTTCATGTTCCTGGGATCCAATAACACTGCAGACAGTGACTGCAGCCATGAAATTAAAAGATGCCTGCTCCTTGGGAGGAAAATGATGGCAAACCTAGGCAGCATAATAAAAAGTAGAGACATCACCCTGCCGACAAAAGTCCGTATGGTCAAAGCAATGGTGTTTCCAGTAGTAATGTATGGCTGCAAGAGTTGGACCATAAGGAAGGCTGAGCGTCGAAGAATAGATGCTTTTGAATTATGGTGCTGGAGAAGACTCCTGAGAGTCCCTTGGACTTGCAAGGAGATGAAATCAGTCAATCCTAAAAGAAATCAACCCTGACCGTTCCCTGGAAGGCCAGATACTAAAGCTGAAGCTCAAATACTTTGGTCATCAAATGAGAAGGGAGCACTCACTGGAGAAGACCCTGATGCTGGGAAAGATTGAAGGTCAAAGAAGATGGGGACGGCAAAGGATGAGATGGTTAGACAGTGTTTTTGATGCAATGAACATGAAATTAAGCAGACTCCGAAGCACGACGGAAGACAAGAGGGCCTGGCATGATGTGGTCCATGGGGTCGTGAAGAGTCGGACTTGTGTGACTGAACAACAAGTAGTTAACCTATTAGTAAAAGTTATTTTTAATATGGTATGTTGGGATGGTACTTACTGTTTAGGTTTCTGCAAAGAAATTATTGTATCAGTCATTATCAATAGACATCCTTTTGATATATTCAAGCAGAGTGCAAGCAAAAAGTTTAAAGATTACTGCAACATATTTTTTGCCTGTCAGGTCAATTTGTAAGGGAAGCTGTTAAGTCTGTCTGGGAGCCTTAGTCTAGATGGGATGGACGTTGGGGTGAGAAGAAAGATTATAATTGCAGTTTTAATGGTTTGATTTGTATGTAGTCTCTTCAGCCAGTTTTCTTATTATTCTGATCTATATGTTTTACTGTTTTATACTACAGTCTATCTCATACAGTAAGGTATAGAAAAATCCTGCCCAGCAGTTGTGGAATATAGCATCTCTCTTTTGAAGGGTTTACTTTTATTGAGCAGATTAACAAAGTGTAAATTTTTAAAAATTGCAGCTTTGTAACAACAGTTGTTTCTGTATGAAGATGAACAGTAGTAAAGAAATACTAGAATTGACTTGGGACGAGTAAGATGTATTGTAAATAGGGTATTTCTGTGGTAGCCTGTAATTACTTTTGGTATGGCTTCCGATAAGGCAGTCTAAACTTTCTGCCTTAATCAAGCTTTTGTGTTTCTTTTCATGATAAAAATCTGTTAATGCAGGTAACTGTTTGCTCAGACAAATGTGTTCACGTTGTATAAACTGCAACTTTTTTTTTGTCAGACTCTTGTTGCAAAGCCTGGAGAGCGAAGAATTTATCAGCCTCTAAGTGTACTTTGGCAAACAGCCTGTGATGTTCAGCTTCTGCACATGGTAAATATTTATTTTAAATCTGATTTGTAATATAAATGTATGGTCCGACATTAAATGAGGTGGTAATTTGCTGTCAAACACATTAGTGTCCAAAAAACTGCCTTGCTGACTGAAGGAAAGATGCATAAAATTAGGTAATACATCTCTTGGGCCATGCTCACATGGGTGAACATGAGCAGTTGGTGAATCCAAACCTGCTCCCATGGTATGGAAGCACTTTGCTTCATAGATGCTCATGAACCTCGCTGAATTTTGGAAATACACCATTTTAGTTACTATTATTTTTGGATTGTGTTCAAAGTTTGATTGTTACAGTTTAATGCCCCTGGGGGTAGGAGTTTTCTGGATTACCAGAAGGTCATAGGATATTGTCCACTTGCAGCCTGCTCTTTAACATATTGCTTCCAAAGTCAGTCCTACTGAATGCAATGGGATGCAGTTCAAAGTTATCATGCTTAAAATTGCAGCCTTATGTCCAAGTGAACATGGGGCTAAGTGGTTGGGGTTCTTTGTATTTCAAAATGTCAACTGTAATTTATGTATTCAGAATCCTTGGCTGGTTTTTAGGGCTTAAATAGTATCTGTGTAGTAAATTAATGTAGAGAGTTATTACAGAGGATTTGGTTAAGATTGACTGCATAGTTGGCTTTGGTCTAAAATGTTTTATGATACAGCAACCTTGCAGAAGGTCTAAACTGGTAAGTGCCTAGCTGGGAGGCTTCTTGAAAATCATATGTATGCTGTCTTGAGTTCCAGGAAAGAAACATAAATGTGGTAAATAGTGGATATCCTGCTTGTACAGAAAATAGAGCAACTCACGTAGAGAGTGCTGACTGAATACTGAGACAGAGTTTCTGTTGTCTCCCCTCCTCATGTCCCATGATCCAGGACTCAGTCATGTTGATGGTCTCAATTTTCAAAAAAATAATAATTACATTTTGGTTTTTGGTCCATTTCCTTCTAGGAGCCTTGGTCTTCGTTTTTAACTAATTCAAGAAATGGTGGACTCTCCATACCGAAGAGTGTGGTAAGCCTACCCCTCCTGAATTCTGACGTAAATGCAGTAGTAGTACCTAGATTCGATATCTGCATCTTCACAAGAAACACTCATAAACACAAAGGCATGAACCCAGCCTAAGGAGCCTCTTCCTCCAACTTACAAGTGAAGTGGTAGGATAAGGTTTGGATTGTCATGGTCGAAGGAAGTATGTTGATTCATGAAACATAATGAACTGGCACTGCTGGAAATACAGAGGTTTCATTTCGTGCTGATCAAGTGGAATTTTGAAGCCTTTTTGAAGAATGCCAGCATTTATAGACTGAGTGATCTGCCACATCTCATTTGGTTTAACGAGCTAGTAGGAGGCAGTGGACCAAAGTGTGAACTTAAAACACTGACTTAATGGGAAAGATGGAGTGTCATTAGACAGTGCATCAAATGTAGGTACTGATATTGTTGTCCACAGAATGCTTTTTGTATATAATCCATGTTGCAGAATTTCTTGTTGCTGTAGTTACATACATACCTCATGACAAAGTGTAATATCCACAGTCCAAAAGAATCTAATGATAACAGACCCATAAGAACATAAGAGACGCCAATGTTGGATCAGGCCAAAGGCCCATCCAGTCCAACACTCTGTCACACAGTGGCCAAAAATACCAGGTGCCATCAGGAGGTCCACCAGGACATTAGAAGCCCTCCCACTGTTGACGTGAATTCCAAGTGTTAATCACTCTTTGGGTGAAGAAGTACTTCCTTTTATCCGTTCTAACCCGACCGCTCAGCAATTTCATGGAGTGCCCACGAGTTCTTGTATTGTGGAAAAGGGAGAAAAGTACCTTTTTCTCTACCTGCTCTATCTTATGCATAATCTTATAAACCTCAATCATGTCACCCCTCAGTTGTCGTTTCTCCAAGCTAAAGAGCCCTAAGTGCTTTAACCTTTCCTCATAGGGAAAGTGTTCCAACGCTTTTATCATTCGAGTTGCCCTTTTCTGCACTTTTTCCAAAGCTATAATATCCTTTTTGAGGTGTGGTGACCAGAACGGCACACAGTATTCCAAATGAGGTCGCGCCATTAATTTATATAGGGGCATTATGATATTGGCTGATCTGTTTTCAATACCCTTCCCAATAAACCCCAGCATAGCATTGGCCTTTTTTATTGCAGTCACACACTGTCTCGACATTTTCAGTGAGTTATCCACTACAACTCTCTTGATCAGTCTCTGCCAGTTCAGACCCCATGAATGTGTATTTATATTTAGGGTTTTTGGCTCCAATGTGCATCACCTTGCACTTGGCCACATTGAACCCCATTTGCCATGTTGACGCCCACTTGCCCATCCTTGACAGATCCCTTTTGAGTGCCTCACAATCCTCACTGGTTTTCACCACCCTGAACAACTTCATATCATCCGCAAATTTAGCCACTTCACTGCTTACTCCCAACTCCAAATCATTAATGAACAAGTTAAAAAGCAGTGGAACAAGTTAAAAAGCAGTGGATCAGAGAATAAAATGTTTTGCCAGTGAAGTAATTCTGTACACGGTGTTCAGATTCCTCACTAACATTTCAACTTGGAAGGTAATTATTTCCCCCCCTCAGTTCTGCAGGTTCAACTTCTGGACAGGAGTATTTGCTAAAATATGTACAAAATGCAATTTTAATAAAATGCCTTTTTTGTTTTATACACAGCTGCTGCAGAATGACCACCTATGCTTAGTGCGAATGACACCTCGGAAGAATTTATTTACAGACAGCTTGACAACCACTAATTCACACATATTTATTTTGATGGTAAAACAGTGTCTAGCTAAATGCAGAACAAAATTAGTAGACAAATTAAAGTAAGTAAAAGTCAGATCCAGAAGTTAACAAAAATGGTAGAAGAGAATTTACTTGAATGTTGCAATTGTGTAAATGTGAAAAATATGAAGTATTTTGAAATTAAACATACACTTTCATGTATAGTGTTGGCAGTGTAGCTACAGTTGAGTCAATAAATGAGCTGTGTGTGGCTGAGTATGTGAATGTAGTGGCTGGGATTCGGGAACTTCTGTAGGCACTTCCAAATGTATGGGCATCCACAGTTGGAGTTTTGATTTTGCTTTCTTTAAACAGTATATCATATAAAAATTGATTTTCAGTCTGTTTCAGAAATAGGTAGCTGTATGAAACACACATCTATGACCACTTTTAGACATGTGTAACTAATTGTGCAGTTCTTTCATTCCAGACCAAGGGTGTGCTCAGTGGGATTTTAAAAAATTTGAATAGCAATAACCGTGCCTTATCAAAAGCTACTTTTGAAACTCTTTTCATTTTCAGCTAAGAAGCATGTGAGGCCACTGCTTCAGAAGCATAAATATGCTTTCAAAAGCATCCTGTAGTACACTAAATTGCTGTAGTACACTAAATTGTGCATTGCAATCAGTGGAAGAATTAAGGTGTCATGGTTTTTCAGACAATGTCAAGTAGTTGTTTTAATAGCTGCTGAATGCTCTCTCTGAGTAGTGGCATTCTTAACTATTCAAGTGTAACAGATTTCCCCCCTGATGTCTTTCAGTTTATGGAGTCTTGAGAGTGGGAAGAAGCTGCTGAGACAGATAGAGATACCAGAAGACATTACAACAGGCAATTTATACCCAGAAGAGTACAAATGCCTTTTTGAAGCTATGGAACAATCTAAAGAATTTGACCAAAGCTGGCTTTTTGAAGATTCCTTAGAAGATAATAGTGCCATAAATTTTTGAAATGAAGCCCTGATACTTTGGAAAGAATCTTTGTGACTTTCAAGACGATGCAAAAGAAAAAAAATAATTTGAAAATTTGCAACAAAGATGACTTCTGTGCAAACGAGAGTGACACCTCTTGAAAAACAGAGGTCCTTCAGATGCAAGCAAGGGCAATATGTTTGATACTGTTTAGTTTAAAGTTGGACATTTTCTGTGATATGATGAAAAGATTCTTGGTTGTCAGAAGGCCTGTTACGGGGGAGGGGGGAGGACTTTTGTTTTTAACCTTTGTGTTGTATGTAATCTGTATTTGGAGAACAGGTCAAATACGGCAAGCCCTCCATTTTCTCTCAGTAACTAAGAATCTTGGGTCCTCTGTGGGCTTCCTGTGTGCAACCTGCTTTTTAAGTGAGATGCTGCCAAAATAGCAATGAACAAAAGGAGCAAGGCGCAGTAGAGACCACCTGTGCATTTCCAGTTTAAAGACTCCCCACTCCTCCACTGCTTGTGTTACACTAGAAATTGTAGCAGGTTTGTGAAAGTTCTTCCCTTTTAAAAGAAAAATGAATTGCACCTTACAGAAATGGAGTGTCTTCACCAATGACAGCTTCTCTTTCTTCCCTATTCCCACTTCTGCCATGTATCGCCTTGAAAAGCTATTTGTGAGTTCATAGAGTACAGTGTGGGAGGCAGCACAGAAAGTGTGAATGTATGAGGCACACAAGGGTTGGGAGACTGTGACTTTTGCTGATCCCCCCCCCCCCCAATTTCTGGCTGCTGCCCCTATTCCATATTCCCCATTTCTGAGGCTCCTTCAACACTCAGGAGTGGTTTTTCAGGAGGTACAGGGATTGAAGGAAGCAGTGACAGGCCATTCTACGAAGTCACACTGTAGTTCTATAGGGTCCAACACCATTGAACACACAGTGTTGATAGTGTTCTCTGAGTATGGTTTGAACTACTGTGTCAATTGTAAGGGCATTATCTCCAAACCTCTTCCTAATTATGATTTTCCTTTTGTGTAAATATTTGTTAACTTTTTAAATTAAACATTAAAGTGCAATGAATTCTGTGTTAATCTAAGGTTACAGCTACAAAGGAGGTACAATATTTAAGCATTTTTAGGTCTCTTTTTCCCCAAGGGACTCAAAGGAACTTAGAAAAAAAGGGGAGAAAATTACAAACAAAAACAAATGGAGAAAGCCAACACATGTAGAGAAGAAGAAGAGGAGATTGGATTTATACCCCGCCCTTCACTACCCAAAGGAGTCTCAGAGCAGCTTACAAACTCCTTTCCCTTCCCCTCCCCACAACAGACACCCTGTGAGGTAGGTGGGGCTGAGAGAGCTCTTGACAGAAACTGCTCTTTTTCAAGAACAGCTCTTATCAGAGCTACGGCTTGCCCAAGGTCATCCAGCCAGATGCAAGTGGAGGAGTGGGGAATCAAACCTGGTTCTCCCAGATTAGAGTCCGCGCATCAAACTGGCACAGGCTGATCTGGGTCCACCAAGCTGCTTATTGCATGATCCAGTTGTGACCACTGGCTGTTGCCCTTCAGCTCAGTCAAGATACATACCTGCGAGGAAGGGGGATGGACCTTGGCTGCATCTTCCCCTAGTGTCCTCCTACCTCCTCAGAATCTGGGTGGCTCTGGCTGCCATAGGAAAAAATGGGTTTGATCCTATGGTTTTGCTTACTGCATTAGGTAAAATAGAATTTTCTGTTTGTCTGTGTACATACGTTAAAAAATATATCTAAAGTGCCTGGAAAGGCTGAGAAGTAATCACTGGGAGGCAAATAACTGGGAGGCAAAATAGTCCTTGGAATTTGATAAAAATTGTTACATCATTATTTAAAAAAAAATAGTTAAGACACTTGTTCCATGCCTTTCAATAGCATTCTGAAGGTGACATGCACCATAAAAATGTACCCCAATATAATTATATGGTAGAGGTGCAGCCTCTGAAATGTGACATCAGATTATAGTTGTGGTCTAGAATAATAGTTTTATGTTAAATAAGAGGTCTGGTTATATTTCCCACTTTGTAGAACCTACATCTCACATAAAACTGGGAGATTTTGCACTGTAGAAGATGTATAACATAACTGAATATTTCAGTATGTGGCAATTTTAAATGTTAATAGAGCGAGAGGCATTAAAGCAAATTTGCAGACCATGCAGAAAATAGTTCTGTGGTGGCCTTAAAACACTGGAATTTGAGAACCTGAAATGTTAGGGGGTGGGTAGAAAAAAGTAGTTTTTAATCATAGCTGCTGAGAGTGTCTGAAACCTTTCAGGAAGTTCTGCTATACACATAGAAAAGGTGGTTTGGATTAATCTCATAGATCAGCTAGTATGTTGTGCCTCTGCATTTTGCATCAGATTTGTGATACAGTGGGATATACATTTTCTAAAACTGGTATGGCACTCAGTTTGTGGTACAACTTCCCCCCAACAAAAAGGCATTCTTAATTTTATAATGTGGATAAAGTACTTTAAAAACTTTGGTGTTTTACTGTTTCATTATTTAATGCATAAAGAGTTCCACTTTGAAAGCAGGGAATTCTATTGCATGACAAAGTAGAATCAGTTACCTGTAGTAAACTATCTTAGCAACATGATCATGTCTGCAAGCTAGATAATGTCATGCTACTAAATTGCCTGGTGTGATGTGGTCCATGGGGCCGCGAAGAGTCAGACTCGACTGTGCGACTGAACAACAACACTAAATTGCAAAAGAATATGGTATGGAGTTCTTTTTATTCAATTATCAGTGGAGGACAGAAATCTAGAACAGTGTACTGATCAGCCAGGGGTCTTCATTAATGAAGACATGCAGATAGTGAAATGGAGAAATAGAGACTGAAACAAGCTCTTGAAGCATTTGTAGTCTGTACTTCAAGAAAATGTTTTACATTAAAATCCAGAGCAGTGTTCATTAGTGGTGGTTTATTTAAAAAGACTTGGTCTTCGGGGTACCAAAGTTGCTGACTTAAAGAACTAAAATAGTTATTTTTAAATCACAGTATGGCTGGTTTACTTTAGTTGAAAATACTGACTAGATTCCACTGAATTGAGATTAATACGGATTAAGCATACCTTGTATAGGGCACTAACAGTACTATTGTACTTTCCTATTGCTTTATAACAGTTACTCTATCCCCTTCTGTGTAATTCCTCACGTTTATGACAATCTGTGCTTCACCTAGCATATATATGGTCTGAAAAGAGAGTAGATGAGAAGGAAAATCCATCCCCTTACCCACATTAACAGTTTGGATTCAATTAAGGTACGCAGCCTGTTACAGCAATATATAATGGAAGCTGTAAAAGGTAAAAAGGATCCTTTAAGCAGTAGAAAGCTAGTCACAGTGAGGCTGATAAAATAAAACACAGGCTATGGCAAGTAAAATGCAAGTCTATGGTCAGGCAGGCAAAAAGGGAATATGAGGAGCATATAGCAAAAAACATAAAAACCAACAAAACTTTCTTCAAATACATTAGAAGCAGGAAACCAGCCAGGGAGGCAGTGGGGCCCTTGGATGACCAAGGGGTAAAAGGAGTACTGAAGGATGATAGGGAAATGGCTGAGAAGCTAAATGCATTTTTTGCCTCTGTCTTCACTGTGGAAGATGAGAAGTGCTTGCCCACTCCAGAACCACTGATTTCAGGAGGGGTGTTGAAAGACCTGAGTCAGATTGAGGTGACGAGAGAGGAGGTCCTAAAACTGATAGACAACTTAAAAACTAATAAATCACCAGGCCCAGATGGCATACATCCAAGAATTCTGAAAGAACTCAAATGTGAACTTGTGGATCTCCTGACAAAAATATGTAATCTTTCCTTAAAATCTGCCTCCATTCCTGAGGACTGGAAGGTAGCTAATGTCACTCCCATCTTTAAAAAGGGTTCCAGAGGAGATCTGGGAAATTACAGGCCAGTCAGTCTGATGTCGATACCAGGTAAATTGGTGGAAACCATTATTAAGGAAAGAATTAGTAGGCACATAGATGAACAAATCCTATTGAGGCAGACTCAGCATGGGTTCTGTAAGAGAAGATCTTGTCTCACTAACCTGTTAGTGTTCTTTGAGGGGGTGAACAAACATGTGGACAAGGGGGATCCAATAGATATTGTTTACCTTGACTTCCAGAAAGCTTTTGATAAAGTTCCTCATCAAAGGCTCCTAAGTTAGCTCAAAAACAGAAAACAGAGAGTGAGTATAAATGGGC